CTCACTGCCTGAGTGCTGTGCTGAGGCTGCACACAGCACATGCATTTATTGGCCAAATTACTGGCCCCATCCGGCCGATATCTGATACAGCCAGTTTTCTTTATATTGGTACCAACCCAATATCGAACTGATGTATTGGTGCACCTCTAGAAATGTAATATATCTTATCCAGTGCACTGAATGCTCTGATGGAAACTACGTAGCAGAAACCAAACAACTGTGCACCAGAATGAGCACACAATGAACATCTATCAAAGACAAAAATACCCAGTTACCTGTGGGTGTGCACTTCTCACAAGATAACCACTCTCTCTCCAATCTCTCAGTTCTAGTCCTCAAAGGGAATTTACAAAACACTTCTCATAGATGAGCCTATGAAGTTTATTTCATAAAACTACTGGATACAAAAAATCATGGACTAAATATAGTCTGGATTTATGGCACATTACAACTTGCCTGACATCTGGTAAGCTCAGGTAACCTCTCTACATTTTACCAGCTACATTCTATCACAGGTCAGCATTCCCCTCTTTTGTGTCCCATCCCCCCACCACCTACCTGTCTCATTAACTTCCATTGCTTCTGATTTCCCTCCCAGGCATTTGCTTTTCACAGACCTGCATTTTGTATGTTGGCTTAAGCTTCTATTCCACCCAAGAGAGTACACAAACATCAGCAGGCTCTTCCTATTCCTGAAGAAGGTTGTTTGTGGTTTTTCCAACTATTTAGTTGGTCTAATAAAAGATATCACATTTACCAAAGAACCTTGTCTTGATAAAAGTATGACATTTACATATATAAGATGATCCAGAGTTACACACAATAAAAATGTAAAAGGGGTATAAACTTTTATGTTTCTCATACACATTTCATTGCTCTCCTTCACCCTCTCTCCTTTGTATGAAAGATCTTCCTCAGCTCATCTGCAAAGCTCTCCCATAGTTTTCAAATTCAAGCTCCAACTACAACCCATCTTTGCATGATGTCTGTAACAGAGGCAATGTTTGGGAGGTGAGATAACTTTTACTGGACCAGCTTATGTAGCTGCAAGAGATTAGACAACCTTTTGGGCTTCACATGCCCTTCAGCTGGTTATAAGCTTTTTATCTCTTCTAAGCTGGTACAAAAAAAAGCTACAACCTCATCTGACAAACTTTTCTTCCCTCATATACCTTGACAGTCACAGCTACAACAGCACCACACCATGTTGCTGGTAATAAACTTGTCAGGTGCCACTCATAGTTGCTGAGTGCAATATGAGAGTTTTCAAGTCCATTTTTACAAACTGGATAGTATTTGTTGCTCTCCTCCCCACCACCTGCTACTTGTTTATTAACTTGCCTTCAGACAGAGTGTAACATCCTATAGGTGGGAACTGCACTATGTTGGGACTGTACCGCACACCCTGAGGTCAATCCTGGAACTAAATAATAATTAATAGTTATGTTTTCAGGCATAAGACAGCTGCCTACTGCTTAGCATAAAATAAAATTTATCAGCAAGCTATTCTGTCGTTCCCCCCAACACACATTGTTTATCTCCCCTCTACTTTCTCCTAAACTCATAGGGTACTGTCTCCAGTCTGAAACAAGATATGCGACTGGATAAACAAAATGGTGTGATCTGTGAAAGCAATTCTAAGACTGCATATGGGCTGACGTAACAGATAAGAGTTTTGTTTGATTTCTCCTATGCTGCTGTACACTTTGTCCATCACGTACCTCAAAAAGAGTTTTCAGCCAGTAGATGTCAGTTGGCTAAAATGAGTGAAGTCTAGCCCAAGGTAAAAGATCAGAGCTTACATCCTTCCACATGCAAGGGTCTCCTCTTAGTTAAATATGAGAACTGGGATTGAGCCAGGGAACTCTATGAAAGCCCTTGGTTCTCCCCACAACTTTAAAACACTTCACACACAAAGGACTAGTGAAAAATTATGTGGATTTGCCAGGACTGCAAGGGTAGAAGATGATAATACATAACTCAGAGTATCTACCTTCTCTCTTCTGAAAAGCAGTGCACAATACAGATAGTTTATAAACCTACTAATTTATTTTTCCACAGTAGTGCAGCAAAAACAAGTGATACTTCTTAGAAAGAAGTGCCATTTTTAATGGGTGCAAGAAGGTGTTATTTTAAGTCATTCTCCACTCCCATGTGTTTTCAGAAAGAGCTTTGCATTATGGGAGAGGCATGCAGAAACCCTGCTTGCTGCTTTACAAAATTAAATCAGAAATAGAAGATAGAGCCATATGGAAGAGAAAAAAATATATTTTGTTAAGCTTAAGAAAGTAATTCTGAAGTTATAAAAGTTTGGGGATAGCATCTAAAATCGACACATTTGTTTCATAGTTTCATAGTTTCTAGGGTCGGAAGGGACCTGAGAAGATCATCTAGTCCGACCCGCTGCCATGGCAGGAAAGAGTACTGGGGTCAAACGACCCCAGCAAGGTGTTCATCTAACCTCTTCTTAAAAACCCC